GTACTCGACTCAACAGTTAAAATAAACCGGATAAAAACCCTCGTTTTTTGAGGATTTATTGTTAAAGTTATTGATATACCTTTAAATGATTCTAACTTATCGTTCTTTTTTTCACGGTCTCTATCTTGCAAGTTCATTTCAGTCAAAACGCCAAAATTGACGCTGATATTGTATTTATTGATGTCGAAGAAGAATTACATCTGTCATCCGCATATGATAATAGTTGGAATCTGCATGTAGAAATTGAGTAAGATTTGTTCATTACTGCAAATATGGTATTACTAAAACAGTGTATAATTTTAATTTACAAAAATAGTTATAGCAACAAAAATAATTAACAAATTTTTAAAACTATTTAACATAGTTGCGCTTTATTGTACAATTAACTGACAATATATGTCAGCAGTTGGGCTAAATGACTGCAGTAGAAAGCAGTTCAATTATTATTTTTTTGGTTAAAAAATAATAATTTGTTAAGAAAATTTTTAATATATTTTAGTCCAAAAATTTTTTTAAAATTTTGTTTATCTTATAGAACACATTCCGAAATGATGAATCGCACAATGAAATATCGTAAACGAGTTTGTCCTTACGAAACAACTGCAGAATTTTGTGCTCAAAATATCTTCAATGCAACAAAAATTGGATCAAACTGGCGAGAAATAATGAGAAGTTTGGAGTTGGATAGAATATCTGGTTTACCGAAGGTATGATATCGTCTATGTTGACCACTAGAATTCCATAGTTGTATAGTTCAACTTACCTAATTTTATAGCTTAGAACAAAACAGAAGGTAAAAAAAATGCTGCACCTTTTTTTAGCTTAATTTGTTGCTAAGCAGTTATGCCAAAGAAAAAAGCAAAAAACAGCTGTCAGACGGAACTTTACCAAACTTGTTCACACAAATTGTTGATGCCGTAATTGCATCTCCAGAAGAAGAATTGTTGGAGGTAGTCAAAGAGTACAAAAGCAACGAAAAACTAGCAAATATGATGTAAATTTAATTGCTCTGCTTTTATTTATTTTTTATTTGTGTTTTTTAAAGAATGCTGAGCATTAAATAAATTCTAAAAGTTCAATCAACTCAGAGAAAAAAAA